ACAAAGCCCAAAACTGATCAAACAAAGGCAAGGACAGTGAGTTTCCCAGGCCTACTATGGAATGAAGATTAATTTCACTCAATGTTATTAATTTTGTTTTGGTAAGGGAACAGCAAAGTAGGTTTTCATTGTAGGTTGACTTTATCAGCTCTGACCTTGATGGAGTTATGTTGTGTGCAATGCATATGAGTTTAGTGACGTGTTCTAAATGTCAGCCCCTGCTTTTGAGGAGAGAGGCTTGTTTGTGGGCCATAGGCAACACTACTGTAAGGCTGGTAGCAGAACGATAAGGGAAGTTATTCTCTGAAACTTTTGACAGGCTCTGTTTGACATAAAGTCACCCCTTTTTCCAACAACATAATAATACTTTTTCACCTTTCCAAATCCACATGATAGTTTAGAGGACTAATCAGTATTTCACCGTTCAGTGTGATCTGGTTCCTAATGGCCTCTTCCCCAACATACACCAGCCATATCTAGTTATTTTAATGCTCTCTAGTGTTGACTTGGATAATAGCATGTTATTTTTTGCCTTCTCCAGCTACATTAGCTGTCACTAAACCATTTCTGCAGCACCTGCAGAATGCAAAACATCATGCAAAAGCACTTACGTGGGTCATTAACTTTAAACACATGGGAGGTTACATCCATTCTTCAAATTCACTCAGCATCTTGCAAAATCAAACTGTGATTAGATCAAGAAAGATGAAAAATTATAAAGAAAATGGCCTTACCCAGAAATTTGCTGGATACTGTATTTTACTCAATATTGCTAATATTGCACCCAGCATATCAGGCCTTTCTCTTTCCTCCCCCAGCTCTTGGAGAGCTCCAGGACAAAGCCATAAGTGGAGACATACTACCTGGCTCATACTCTCTTTCCATTTCTGGATGCTCTCTCAAGTAGGGAGAGGTCCAGTGATGCAGTTTGCTCAGTGCAAAACATTGAGAACACACTTTGCAGCCATGCTCACATTTCTGGCTAGGATGCATGTAAAAAGAGAAGTGGAGCTAACAGCCAGCAGACCGTATTTTGTCTCATATTTTGCATGCAGTCAGGCTGCAGGGAGCAGGTTGAAACACAGATGTGCGTTTGGCATTCAGTGATAAAGTGCTTCTAGTGAGAATATACCAATCCCTGCAAAACTCTTGCCGTGGCAAATTAAGCAACCCTTCCCATGTGAAATCAGTTATACCAGTGACTGCTGCTCTATGAGGTGTTTTGCCAACAGAAACCATGCTGATTACAAATCTTTCCTCTGTCAATGTTGCCACAACATGCAGCTGGCATAACTGGAACATTAGCAAGCTTCCTTATGCATGTTTTGTGCCTGACACCTCCTTGTCTCCAAAAGTTATTTGGCACAAGCCAGTTAGCTTGCTTTGTATAGAAAATGATGCACCATAGCCCAAACATTATGGAAAAGAAATAAAGAATGAGAAGCAGAAGTTATGGGAGAAACATCATGTGCATCAATGAGTTTCATTTCTTCTGGTCAGATTTTCACTCATTACACTTCCCCCTGAAGCTGTTAATGTTCTTTCCCAGATACCAGTGCAAGGGTGCAGTAAGCACAAAGATTTGGTTACGTTTTCCTGTTAGTTTAAGCATGTCAGTCTAATTGCAGTACTTTTCTGGCTCTGTTTCCTCAAAAGGCTACCACATGATGCTTTGCTGCATGGCCACGCTCAGCAGCTCATAAAATCATTGATTTGTAGAATGGTTTGAGTTAGAAGGGACCTTAAAGACCATCTACTTCCAAATCCCTGCCATGGGCAGGGACACCTTCCACCTTCCACTAGACCAGGTTGCTCCAAGCACCATCTAACCCAGCTTTGAACTATTCCGTGGATGGAGCAGACACAGCTTCTCTGGGCAACCTGTGCCAGTGCCTCAGCACCCTCACAGTAAAGAATTTCCTCCTAATATCTATTTTAAGCCAACCTGTTCTCTACCATCACCATTCCCTCTTGTCTGTCACTGCATGTCTTTGTCCAAAATCTCACTCCAGCTCTTTTGGAGCCCCTTTAGGTACTGGAAGGTGCTATAAGGTCTCCACAGAGCCTTCTCTTCTCCAGGCTGAACAGCTCAAACTTTCTCAGCCTGTCCTCACAGGAGTGGTGCTCCAGCCCTCTGACCATCTTCATTGCCTTCCTTTGGACCTGAACTAAAAAGCATTCCCCAAGCCTGTAACTACAGGAAGCACAGAGGAAACTTTTTTCTGTCAGCAAGAAGTGGATTTCATAGTTTCAAGATGCATTTGGATTTTGCTGTAAAACAAACCTCCCCCCTCAATGTGATAATAAACAAAATGAGAACGTAACTGAATATGCCTCATTTGTGGGGTTTTAGGCTTACAAATTCCATAGATTGTTAGCACTCGTACTTAGAAAGTGGCAAAAACTTGAGAACGAAAATCTAGAGAAACCTTGGTAAGTGCAATACTTAATTATGCTTAAGTCCATTAAGGAACACACACAAGAGACCACGGACAGAAAGAAGTTTCCCACTGTTGCACTGATTGCAGAAAGATTAGGTTTTCTATCACTTGTGCTGGACTGATGACAGCTTTTACCCATTGCTATACTTCCTGTCAAATTTCTATGGCAAATCCTAGAGTAGCCAAATTCATATTTCATTTGATTTCCATTTTCAGGTGCATTACTATTACTTACATGATGGTTTCTATAACTGAACTCCTGTTACACGGCTTTAGTGTTCCTCATAGTAAAAGATTGCTACAGAGAATGAAGTTAGCAATTGGTTAGCTTATACTCCACAGCAATTTAGTACACATGGACAGAATGTAAAATATGAAGAACATCCAGGCTGCAGACTGTAGTGGACTGACCCTGGCTGGATGCCAGACAACTACCAAAGCTGCTCTATCACTCATGTTTTCAGCTGGACAGGGGAGAGAAAACATAAGAAAGGCCCATGAGTTGAGATAAGGACAGGGAGGAGTCACTCACTGAATACTGTCCCAGGCAAAACAGACTCAAATTGGGGAAATTAAGTGAATTTATTACTAACAAAATCAGAGCAAGACAATGAGAAGTAAAACAAATCTTACAATCACCTTCCCCCCACCCCTCCCTCCTTCACAGCTCTAGCTCCTCCCCTCCAGCAGTGCAGGGGGACAGGAATGGGGTTATGGTCAGTTCATCACATGTTGTTTCTGCTGCTGCTCAGGGAGCAGAGTCCTTCCTGTGCTCTAGCGTGAGGTCCCTCCCATGGGAGACAGCTCTCTATGAGCTGCTCCAGCATGAGTCCTTCCCACAGGCTAAGGTTCATGAACTGCTGCAGCTTGGGTCACTCTCCACAGGGTGCAGTCCAGTCCCTCAGGGACAGCTCCAGCATGGATCCACCACGGGATCATAAGTCCTAGCAGGAAATCTGCTCCAGCATGTGTCTCCTCTCTCCACAGGTCTGCAGGTCCTTGCCAGGAGCTTCCCACCTGTTCACAACCTCCTTTGGGCATCCACTTGCGCTGGCGTGGGTCTCCTCCATGCGCTGCCCGTGGATCTCTGCACCCTGTTAACCTCCATGGGCTGCAGGAGCACAGCTGCTTCACCATGGTCTTCACCACAGGCTGCAGGGGAATCTCAGCTCTGGTGCATGGAGCACCTCCTCGCCCTCCTCCACTGACCTTGGCATCTGCATAGTTGTTCCTCTCACATATTCTTGGTCATTTCTTCTCTGGCCAAATTACCACTGCGCAGTAACTTTTTTCATTCTTAAATATGTTGAGATTCAGATTAGATGTCAGGAGACATGTTTTCCCTGTGAGGGTGTTCAGGCACTGGAATAGGTCGCCCAGGCAGGTGGTGGAGCCACCGTCCCTGGAGGTGTTTAAGAGGCATCTGGATCTGATGCTGAAGGATATGGTTTGGAGTTTAGAGGTTACAGCAGTGACAGTTAATGGTTGAACTCGATGATCTTAGAGGTCTCCTCCAACCTTGATGAGTCTATAGTTCTATGATCCCAGAGGTGTTAACTGCCATCTCTGACTGGCTCTGCCTTGGCCGGCTACAGGTCCATCCTGGAGCCGCTGGCATTGGCTCTGCTGGACATGGGGAAGCTTCTAGCAGCTTCTCATTGGAGTCCGTACAGTCCCCCTGCTACCCAAACCTTTCCACACAAACTCAATACACAAGGATAAAGGATATCTCCAAGTCCTAAACACTTGCATGATGATTAATCATGTGCATGAAAGCACCTTTGCAAACTGCATAAAATGATGATGAATTCAGCACTTCCAGTGTATTTTCTGGAAGGCCGTTGATTTATTGTGAAACAAAATTTCTCAATTTTTTGTGAAATTAATTGTCAAGAAATATGACATTCCTAACCAAGAAGCTTAGCATACACTCATGGTGGGAAGAACAAAAGACAAGCTAATTCCAGCTGCTGAGAATGATCCCCACTGACACATTGCACCAAGTGACAGCTGGTTTTGGTTGCTCACAAACACCACGCATACTGTTTTGAAGTGGAATATATAAAAATGTAAAACAAAGTTTCAGTGTCCAAGATTCAAAATAATGCTGAGAAAACAAGTTTATAGAGAATTCCAGAAATAATGACAAAAAGGAAAATAAAAAGCCTGGAAAGATATTTTCACTTTCATTTCCAGGAACTACTGGATAGATGGAGTGATTCCATATGTATTCAACCCAATAGACATGGTCCAAAATTCTAAAATGGGATTTCATAAAAGCTCTGCAATAAAACTGAACTAACAGTGCAAAGGATTTGTCTGAAAAAAGGTTTATTTGAAAAACACTCAGCAACTATTATTAAGAAATTACTTTTCCACTCTATATTAACCTATTTACATATACTATATATATACAGTTATAATTTGAATTGTGCATTACTACAATGAATCCCCAAAGCTACGTGTTGTGCAACATTCTGGTTTAAGGTTTTGCATGGATATAACACAGTCTTTTTTGTCTGAAGTTGTGTAAAAATCAAGCATGTATAAGACGTTATCTCAATGCATTGCAAGTAATTTCCTGTAGACACTGTTGTTCACGTTAGTTGTCAACGTAGCCCTTCGACTAGTGGTTGACATCAACTGGCCACTGCTGTTACTATTGTTAGGATCAAAAGTCTTTTTGCAATTGAAGAGACTGAAAAATTGCCTCTGATACTGAGAGGAAGCATAGTAGTAAATGAAGGGGTCAATGCAGCAGCTGATGCTGCTGACACAAACACAGAGCAGATAGGCAAAGTAGAGATACTCTAAGCTGTTGTCAAAAGAAAAATGGACATAATGAATTAACAGGAGGATATTTGTTGGTCCAAAGCAAATAACAAACACAGAAAAAACAGCCACACACAAGATCAAGGCACGTGTTTTCTTGTTTTGCTTTGCAACAAGGGTGGAAGAACTGAGGCAGCGAATGATACACACGTAGCAGACGGCAGAAATGATAAACGGCACAATGAAAAACACAGACGAGAAGATGGAGAAGAAGTGGACGTAAAAGCTGTGAAGCTCAGACTCTTCTAGCACATCGTGGCAAGTAGTTATATTTAACTTGGGTATTTCCACCGTTTGCTCCCTGATCAGAAAGGGAATAACCCCAGTTATGGCTACAAGCCATATGACGACGCAGATCAGTGAGGCACGCGTCAATGTGCGCCACCCCAGAGACTGCATGGGGTACACCACTGCCAAGAAGCGATCAAAGCTGATGCTGGTCATCAGCATTATTGAACAGTACATGTTGCAGTAGAAGGCAGCAGTGATGAAACGGCACATCTGAGGTCCGAAAACCCAGTCGTTCCCAAGGAAGTGATAAGCAATCTTAAAAGGGAGCACGCTGACAAAGAGGACATCTGCAAGGGCCAAGTTCAGCATGTATATCACAGCTGGCTTTTCGATCTTCATTTTCTTCAGGAACACCAGGATCGCTGTGATGTTCAAAGGGAGACTCAGCACAAGCACTACGGTGTAAACTGAAGGAACAAAACGTGTCAGCCATGGGCTAGTGAGGTACCTTGCTGTTTGAACTGACACCTTTCGCTGCTCACGTAGGGTTGATCCAGCCTGACTGCTGGCTCCTGATCCAGCTTCCAAGTCATATTCAACATCACCCTCAAGAGGTATAAGGTCATCCTGGTCACTGGCAGATGACAGTACAAAACTTCTGCCGCGGGCTATGCTGCTGTTGTTTGGAAAGGCTGAAAAATAAGAAAGCATCAAGATTAATAAGCAAATATTTAGATGGTATGGGAAAGTTAAAATGTCTTTCAGGAAGGAAAGCTAAGATCACATCAGTTACACAAAAGAAAAGATTAATTCCTGATTCAAAGTGCAAGCTGCCCGCAGATCAGCCTTTTTATTTTAGCTCCTGCTACAAATTTGGGTAAGATATCCTCCTTTGTCTCCCATCTCTTAGCTTGGAAGCCTTTTCTAGTGATTCTAGCTGTGCTTAAGGACTCAGTCTAATTTATGCACTCTTTGGGCTACCTTAAAACAAACACAACAGTAAATCTGCCACCCTTGAACTGTCTTTGCAAATCCCTTACTACATTTGTAAGAAAGAGACACTGGGATAAATACTACTATTCATACACAAAATTCCCGTTAGAAGAACTCATCACCAAATTAACAAACAAGTAAAACGGCAATTGAAACATCAAGTTACTGAGCTACTTCTGTGTGCTCTGGAAACAACCTTAATGTTCCTATCAAGGCAGTTCGCTAATTACACCAAGCTGTGTGGGACAGTCCCAGTTGGAGGGAAGGGATGGGACATCTAGAGGGAACTTGGACAGGCTGGAGAGGTGGGTCAACGCTAACCTCATGTTCAACAAACTGAAGTGCAAGGTCCT